TAACCTAAGTGAAGTTGATGATTAATGTACATTTGTTCAAGAGCCTTTTCTGTCTTTCAGTGATGTGTTTTGCTCTTGGTGGTCTCTTTATGATGTTACTGGTTTTGAAAGGTTTTCAAAAATGATTTATTTTAAAAAGTCTGAAGATGAATTTCAGTTTTAGAGTCTTTGTCCTGTGTTAGCTGTCAAAAGGCTTTACTTTTCAGTTCATTGAGATCAACTTGTATAATAAGATGCTAGGTTTGCTTGTTTTTGATTAGAAATGGTCTATGTGACTTTGGGTAATTAAAACCATTTATTGAAACATTGTGTTTTTAACTGTAAAATGCTGGAATTCTCTGCTGTTCATGAAGAATTGAATAATATTCATTTGTCACGTAGGGTGTTGATTCAAACCCAAGTGAGTTCAATTGAGGTGGCTGAGGTGGTTGCAACACTCAGCTGTTTCCTTTGCCCAGCTTTCCACAGCTTGCTTGCTTTGTGGCAGAAAGAACTGGCCTGTGAAACAATTCTTTAACAGCCACAGTTTATAGTGTGGTGCATTCAGATAAACCAGTATGCACTTTAAGTTGCTAACTCTAGCAGTGCAGGAGTACCTGTGTAACTTTTTGGTACTAGGATAGCAGGAACAGTCTTGGAGAGTAGTGAATGCCTGGCAGGGTTTTTAATGTGCCTGTAATGATGGATAGATATCCTCTGCTTCTTATTGCCTACCCACTTGAGGAGGGTCCTTACAGTGCTCTGCCAGCAGTTGCCGACAACTAGGTGCAGACAGAATGCTGCCAGCAGTTTTATATGGCTTTATATGGCTCCAAGTCATCCTATGGAACTGCAGGGAATTTTCTCCTAGAGCTTTGCTTTTAGTCACCCTGTAGAATAAAAAAATGGGAAACAACAGCATAAATAGTCTTCCTTAGATTCCTGCTCCACTTAGATAGGAAGAATACCATTTCTTAATTTTTGGTCATTTTTGAAAAAAGGTACAGCACAGAGGAGAAGCCAAAATATTTTTTTGCCAAAAAAAATCCAAGCCAAATATTTTTGGCTTGTGTGGGTTCTGTTGGACAAGTCACTTGGGTGTTAAATGGATGCTATGCAAACAAGGCTGCTAAGTGGGTCCTTCAGGAGGAAAGAAAATGGGCTTGGTGTGGGATGGGGGAGGTTTGGGAAGGCTGATGGTTCTCCTTGGTCTTTCTTCCTGCTCTTTAAGGATAATATTGCCCTCAGCTTGCCAGAAAACTGAGGATTATGAATGTGCTTTAATTCTCACTGCAGTCAGTGGTTGGAGGAGCCAGCTTTACTTGAACAGGGTATTCTCTAAAATAGTCCCAAATTAGGACTTCTTTTGATGTTGTTTATTTGTATTTAGATAGCTGCCATGTAAACTACAGATTTTTGCCTTTGGAACAGAACTATTTCCCACAGAGAAGTGTTCCTAACAGCAGACTTTATTCTATTTTTTTATTGTGTCTTTATAGTCTTTCTTTAGAGGCTATATTTTATGGAACGACAAAAATAGAATAGAGATATTTCATATCTAATAAACGCATGGACCAGATGCTTCTCCGGTCTCTTCTTGCCCTGGCAGGATTGGATTCTTTATATGAGAGCAACCGTGAAGCCATAAGCCGCATCTAGAGTGAGGTGCAGCAAAGGCCAACCTCTCCCTAGGACTCTGTATCCTTAGTGTTGGGAAGTTGTAGCCCTGCTTCAGCAAAAATGAGTTACTTAAACATTTGCACATATATGATCTGTTCAGAATTGTCTCTTGTTGGCAATCTGTGGCATTGTTTATAATGCTCCTGCTATTTGCTGCCTGGACGTTCATTGTGCAGGGCAGCCCTTATCTTCCTCGCTGATAGCGTATTGCCAACAATACCAATTAGGAGCTGAAAACCCTCCTAGCATAAAGGAAAGTTCCATTTTCTCCAGGGTGACTCAGTAATTAATTAACCCCTGGGAAGGAGAGACTTCCTGTGCCAATTCATGAAAAAGTTACGGGAAGGAACTCTTCTATAGGAACAGAGAAAATGATGAGAAGTGTTTTTATCTGCCTTGTAAGGATTATGTTTTCTAATACTATCAATCTGCATGGAAGTTTGGAAATGAACTGAGAAATAGCTACATTGGGAAGGGTTGCTTGTTTCTTCTAACATCTTCCTTTGAGACAGGAGAAAAAGGAGACAAAAAGGAGACAAACAGCTGTTAAGAAGCTGTGATTAAGGGTGAGACTCAAAAGTTATAATGGAGTTTTGTGCTTCCATGCCATGTGTTTACTTTCAAGCAGGCCTCAAGTTTTGGTTTTAAATGAGTGGACCACTTAGGAGGGAGGAAGGAAAATAAGCTGGGTTTTGGGTAGTGGCAGTTGTTGGGATAACTACCAAGGCCAAGGGGGAACTTCTCTGCACTTGTTTGTGTTCTGGTTGGCCATTGCTGAAAGCAAGTCAAGAACTACAGTACAATTTTATTCTCCCAGCCTGTTATATATGGAATATATGGTTTTATCAAGTAATCTTGTCCAAACCTGTAAGATAAAACTTTGCCTTTCTGTAGTAGACTCGAACCAAGGAGAGCAGCACTGTACATGAAGATGCATGTGAAGGGTGTATATTCCTCCTATAAAGAACAGTAGCAAGTTCTGTAAGCTCAAGTGGAGCTCCAGAATTTAGATTTAGCTCCCAATAGACTTTCAGAGGTGGAAGGAAAGAGCATTTGCTGCAAAAAATCCCTTGTAATGTGAATATGGGTCACATGTTTGGGCATTAATCTCAAAATAGAGCAATGCATATGGGAGCCTCCTTCCCTCAGAACAGTGCTGCGGTAAAATATATGAAGAGATGCCTTTTCTGCTGTAAGCTAAGTGTTGCTGGGACTTTTGGCTAATGCTTGTCCTCTTAATCTGTTAATATCTGGTCATTTCAAGTTTAGGGAACTACTAAAGTGCAAGGCCTTTTCTTTTTTTTCCTACAGTGGTTTGCTGCTCATTCCCCAGAGATGGGCACACATGAGTGAACCCTTGTTTTTTGCTCTAGTGAATGAATGTTCATGCAAAACAAGAAAAAATGTTAGACTTGTTGCCTATTTCTCATCATTTTGTTTATTAGTTTGGTCCATCATCTTGGACTTGTGTCCAAGAGAAAAGCCCAATGATGAAGTGTAACGGATATAGTATTAAGCATGCTAAATAAGTTGGGAAAAAAGGTGCACAAAGAAATATATGTATATATTTTTTACTGTCACTCTCTTTTTTTCTTTTTTAGTAGGAGCTGTAGAAACATTGTAGAGTAAAGACAGCGTGGCAGGCAACTGGGCTAGATACTGCAGCAAAAAGGGGGAACCTGTACCAGTCCTGAACACAAGTATGCTAGGTAAAATACCAGATCAAACCATGTATCTGCTTGGGAAAGTTTCCAGCCTAAATTTTATATAGGCTGTGGCAAGCAGATGAAGAACTGCTATGTGGTGTCACATGCAGTCTTGCGCTATCAGGATCATACAGTTGACAGTTTAGTTTGTAAACTTCAGCTGAGCATTCTTGCAGTGACTGTAATGTGGCAGCAGTGGTGGGCAGATTGGAGTGAGAAGGGGGTAGTGAGAGGTTTTTCGGTATGCATTGCATGTGCAAAAAGGTAGATTTGGGTAAGCTGCCTGTACTGAGGAAACAAAAATACAATTATAAACAAAAATCCTAAGATGGTTGCTTAAAGATGAAGTGGCTGGTGTGACTGAAAAAATCAAATAGTTTCAACTTCTCACCAAAACAAATGATCAGTCTTGGGAGATCAAATGATCACTGATCTTTTGAAGAACTGAAGACTGTCTATTTTGGGCACAAAGATAATCACTTCCTGCAGTTCTCTACAGGGTAACGTAGCAGTCAGCAACCTTTCTCGCATGTTGTGCGGCACTATGATTTGTGATTTGCTGTCCCGAATTAACATCTGAGCATGAGAGAAGAAATTGAGAAGAATTGAAAGTAGTCAGGAAATGATGTTTCCCGAGGTAGCAAGGTGCTGTCGTAATCCTCATGGCATGAGGTCTCTACCCAAGCATGTGGTTCTTGCTGTGTACAGGGATCAATAGCAGGGAGTTGTTCTATCAAGAGACAGCACCCAGCCCTGTTACTGTATTCAAAATCCATCTGTTTACCACCTTTGCTACGACTGTAAGTTGTAAACCCTCATCTCCTTCTCCTTTTTCATTCTAGAGTGGCATGGAAAGCTTTACAGAAATAATTTATTTCCCCTTAGGGAAGATAATAAAAAGGTATATTCAGTCTCAAAGAGTACAGAACAAATCTTTTTTTTTTTTAATTGAGTGCTGTTTTATTTTATTTTTATTTTTCTTGAAACCGATTCCGTGATAGGCAGAGAACTAACTGTGATGATGACATAGGATAGCAGGCATTATACAGAGGGAAAGCTGAATATGCAGAAGGGGAAAGTAACAACTACAAAGTTATTGGAAACTGCATGTACAAAACCAGGAAGAGCTTATTTGCTTTCATTCATTGTTTATAAACTAAGCCTTCTTCCCCCGCCCCTACCATTAATGCACAGAGAGTGACCAAGGAGGAAAATATAATATGGAGAAGAGAAAAAAAAACTCATACATGAAGTAGAAAGAAACTGATCTCCCATGATCTTGTTCTTTTAAAGTAATATTATATTTTAGTTCTGTGCTCCTGGGTCTGTAGAGGAGAAACCCCTAGAATTCTGTTTCGTTTGAAGGAGTTCAACAAGAGCTCTTGCTGGTGAATGTCATTACTTCAAATAAACTATCAATATTGGTATTTTGAATATTTCATGCTGGTGATACAACATTAAGTTTGCATTAGATGTGTTCATGCAGCAGAGAAGAACTGGATTTTGGGAACATGGTCTCTTAATCAGTTCTGTTGTGTAACATCACAAGCTATTTTTTTCATGCTGGAGCATATGTAAACATATGTTGCCTATGTAGATAGCAATTCCATGTTTTCCCATATTCACAGGTATTGAATGCAGTCTGAGTCCAAAAAGTATGAGGAAGAGATTCCTTCTCTGCTGTGGGGGCTGGATCCTGTATTTTCCGCATTTGCAAGACTCTATATCAAGGATATAAAAGAAATGAGAGAATCTAAACAAGTGCCAGGTATGTACTCAAATGTGCTGCTTATGATGCACACAGTATTATATTTGTTTTATATTGCATTCTTGATCTGAAAATTCAGTGTTTCATGAACCTCAGTAGTTTTCTGTAACCCTAAGATAAGTGGCACTAATCTTTAACAGGTTGAAGAAGAATCCTTTCTTCAAAGAAGTATAGGTAAATATATATATACATATATGAAAAACTTTGGATGATTTTTCTTATTCTCTAATATAGACAGCTGCTTTTACATTAGAGATGCTTTGCTTCCTCTGTGTGGTAGTGCTGTTCCGATAAAGTTACTCCTAAAATCTTGGTCCTTTCTGGTCATACATGTTTTGTTTTTCACTGGTCTCCATAACATTTTTCTTTGTAATACATAATATTGATAATTGCCTGTGCATGTTAATATACAATAAAAAGGAATATATTTTTTTGCTGCTTAATTTCTAGCTATGATAGATATATGAAATCCTTCATGTGTCTGAACAAACTTGTTGTCAATTCTGGCATCTGTGCTGCATCTTATACCACACCTTTTATTTCCTAACCCTTGTTGGAGACTGTGCTCTGCAGCCTGTTTCCTGCTGGTCTTCAGCCAGTCTCACCCACGTGTGCACATTGTCTAACGCAGCGTGGGTCTGGCCCTGAGTTGCTGTTTTCACTGGGGAGAGTCTAAACAGACTCTCTGCAGTGTGATTTCTATTGGAGAAGGATTCATATACTCCCAACTGGAGCCCGACAGGATGTAAGATTATCTGAGAGGAACTCTTAAGAAACTTGGAGTTGATCAGGAAGAGCATAAATGTGAAGCTGAATGCGTGGCTTTGGTTTGTTTTAGTTTTATGGATTTTGTTGTTCTTGTCCTCCCTTCATAAGGAGAAGGTGCCTTTTTCTGACTCAAAATAATGTAGCTTATATACTCTACCTTGGACATTTGGTATTCATATTTATTTTCCTTTAACAGTAGGGATCTTGACAGTGCTATTCTCTATGCTAAGAAACACTTTCTCAGGAACCTCTTAAACTCTGCAGTTGTGCTCTGCTTCATGAACTTTTTCAGTTTTGTCATTAGGATTTTTTCTAAGATGTTCTTAAGGAAGTGGTATCTGTCATGTTAAGATATCAGCCTTTATAATTGGCACAGGCTTTCCCCACTTCCTGTGCATCTGGTGTTTTGCACAACTAAGCTTATTTGCAATCTTATATCATTTTTTAAACCCAAACTTTAAAGTTCATTCTTGCGAAGTTATGTGAATGAACAAAAGTTCATGGAATAAATATTTTTTTTCTCCCGATACGGCGTTCATATCTAACCAGATATTTTCTGTATATCTCGTTCATGGGCAACAAATGATAATACAATAGAAACACAAAAAAGGTATATTTGGGTGAAGGAAGAGGTAGGTTTTTGTGGGCCAGTGTTTTCAGCCATTAATGGGTTTGTTAAAGACTAGATGAAGCTAAATGCGTGATTCAGTTATTAAATAATACTTATAACAAACGAATGAGTGCAAAACAAGGAATTGTAACCAGGAGTGGAAAGAAATGCAGACTGAATGTCAGGAAAAGCATCCTTAGAATGAGATTTGCTAGACCATGGAACAGCCTCCCCAGGAAAAAGGTGGGATCCCCTTCACTGGGATTATTTATATCCTGGCTGTACAACTTGCCAGGAATTTACTGTACGGAACAGTCTTGTGCTGGCCTTGAGGAAATGGGCTGAATGACCTCATTTTTTTTTTTTCCATTTTTAAGCATTAGGATTTGATGCAGCAATGACTAATCCCTTAGAACAACACGGGGGAAACAGTAAACCTGGCCAAATTCTCTCCTGCTATAAATGGTGTCGAGAAGGCTGGAAAACCACCCAGATAAAAACAGCATTTTTGTACTCCTAAAGGCCTTGAAGTGATAGTAGATGTCACACTCGGTTGTAGTACATAATTATATCTGGGAAGGGAGCTTTTCTCAAAGTGAGTGTGCAGCACTGCTTTGTGACAGCTTGTCAACAAGTAAGGGAAGTTCCAGATAGCATGAAAGGAGGGAGTAAAAATTAAAGTAATGGCAACCAACTCATTGCTTAGTAACACTGGTGAAGATATGAGTAGAGTTTGTGCAAGATTGCTGCTATGTCTTCCTGCTGTGGGCACAGCACATTAATATGTCTGAATTTGCTGATTTCCTAGAAGTGCTACTGAATGTGCTTATGCTTGTGTGTGCCACTGGATGGCTTCAAATATTTAGTATATTTGTTGCTAGCAGTATGAATGTAATTGGAACCAATAACTGGGGGTAGAAAAGCTCCCTGTTTCTGCCTCCAAGTTGTCCAGCTCAACGCCTTTTAATAGAGTGTGTAGACCTAATTTCATCTTTCACATGAATTCAGGTAGGTTTTTCAGAGAGCAAGGGTGGAGCTGGGTACAGATTTAAGGGGGTGGAGAGAACCAGTTTTCTCTGGTCTCCATTTGCCAAAACTGTTTACTAATTGAGAAAAGAACCTAATAACATGCTCTGTGGTGCTGTTGTCATGTTCCTTGTTTGCCCAGTGGAGAACATGGTGGCTCTGCCCTGCAGATGTGCTCTGAATCTGACTCAGACCTTCTTCTGCAGAGGTTTTGAAAGGTTTAATGAATGTTTATGTACAGCGGAAGCATCTCCATTGAGTGTTTCTATAGCAGTGTGTGTTTGTTTCCTGTTAAATGGAATGAGAGAAAAGTGGACAAACCTGCTAAACGTAAGGCTTGACCAGAGACTGCACTAATACTATCAGCAGCTCCAGGCTGCCAGCACTGGCCGCATCCTCAGACCGCTGCAGTGGGCTTTTAGCAGCAATGCTTCTGTACAAGAGCTTCCTGGCTGATCACCTGTGACTTTCTGAAGCTTTACTTTTTTTCTGTCATTTGTGAAATAAGTTAACTTCAGGCTCCTTTAAGGCTGCCGGCTATGTAGGACAAGCTATTTTTGGCTTTCCGTTTAGACTTTTTTTTTTT